CCAATTTCCTATTTTTCCCTATCGTTTTCGATCTGAACCAAGTCTTTATTTGCATTCAAAATGAGTCAACTAGATAATTTAATTAGAAAAGCAAAACTAACGAACTTTGTTAAATTTATTAATATACATGGTGTCACACAAAGACGCCCCACGCTGCAACTCTGTTACATATTTACATTCCGATTTTCATGACCTAGGTATCAAATGAAATGGTTTTATAAATACTATGATTTATGCTACAAATAATTTTTTCCAACGCCATCTTCAATTTTAAGCGATTATTAACTTTTGTTTTTCAAATTGCTGCGTATATTTTTCTTCACGTCATTGGATAGAGATTGTTCTTCTGAATCCATTGATGTACAATACATCCATTTTGAATGTAAGTTTAGCAGAGAAAAGACACCTGTAGATACAGGTTGTCACACAAGAATGCCGCAAGCTGTAATTCTGTCATTTACATTCCGATTTTCATGAGCGAGGTATCAAATGAAAAGGTTTGCTGAATACTATGATTCATGCTACAAATAAACTTTTTCCAACGCCATCTTCAATTTAAAGCGATTATCAACTTTTGATTTTCAAATTGCTCGGTAAGTTTTTCTTCACGTTATTGGATAGAGATTTTTTTTCTGAATCCATTGATGTACAATAGATTAACATTAATTGTAATTGTGTAGCAACTTCTATATACAGGTGTCTTTTCTCTGCTAAAATTATATTCAAAATGGATGTATTGTACATTAGTGGATTCAGAAAAACAATTTCTATCCAATGACGTAAAGAAAAATATATAGAGCAATTTGTAAAGCAAAAGTTAATAATCGCTTAAAATTGAAGATGGCCTTGGAAAAAATTTATTTGTAGCATGAATCATAGTATTCTTGAAACCATTTCATTTGATACCCCGCTCATGAAAATCGGAATGTAAATGACAGAGCTACAGCTTGGGGCGGTTTTTGTGTGACACCCTGTATTTGAATCTGATATCACAAGCGCAATTAAAATAATAGATGAATGGGCGTCGATAGTGAGACGCAGGATGACGAACGAGAAACATTTGAAGGGTCATTTTACTCTAGCACCGCGAAAGTCAAGCGCCTACTATCGAACAAAATCATGTGTAGCCATATTCATCATTTTTTGTAGCGAGTCCTACTCCGGATCAGAGTGTGCGACTATAACAATATATAACAACAACGCTGTAAACAATATTCAAAAATTTCATTATCTGATATCCGCATTATCCGGGTCCACTCGTGAAGTAATATCAAGCTTAGAAATAACTCAAATAAATTATGACGTTGCTTGGGATTTACTATGTACACGTTATAATAATCCGCGATTTTTAATTCAAAATCACCTTAAATCATTATTTGATATAGAAAAAATTGCTTTAGAAAAATCATATTTAATTCGAAAATTTATTGATGATATTCGTAAACACATGCGCGCTTTAGCTGCTTTAAAAGAGCCCACGGAGAACTGGGACACGATTATTATTTATTTAGCTACAACTAAATTAGACAGTAGTTCAAACCGTGAATAGGAACAACATAAAGTTTCATTAAAAGATCCCAAATTAGAAGATTTACTAGAACTATTAAAAAATCGTGCGGATCTATTAGAAACACTCGATCACATAGAAGTAATCGAAATCACTTATAGTGGCGAATGAATCAAACGTTAGAGTTTGTGGAATTTGTAAAGGCGAATATTACATACAAGATTTCCCAAATTTCGCAAAACTTTCCGTACAAAGACGAATTGATCAGGTTAAACGTTAAAAACTTTGCATTAATTGTCTTAGAACCGGTCATTATCTTCAGCAATCTCGCTCAAGTTCTTGTAAAAAATGCAAAGCTAGACATCACACATTACTTCATTTAGAATATAATCGACCAGAACCGCCATCACAGTCATCAACGACTACGCAGGCTCACAACATAAATTTTGCATCTAATACAAACGTGCATTCAAATGACTTACTTTCCACAATCATAATTCATGCCTATAACAAGCATAACCGAAAATATTTGATTCGAGCACTTTTAAATCCGGGTAGCCAAAGCAGTTTTATTTCGTCGGAAACTCGTCAACGGCTAGGATTAAGTGAAAGAGAAACATGTTAATGTCACAAGATAAATCAGTTACAATCTACGATTAATAGTTTGTGTTTGATACAAATTTATTCTCGTTATACTGATTTTTCGCTGAAACTTCGTTGTCTTGTTATTGGGAAAATCACGAGTGATTTGTCAAATTTCGTAGTAAATGCGAATGATCTACAAATTTCCACTAATCTTCGACTAGCAGATCCATCGTTTAACAAACCAGACAAAATAGATATGTTGATTGGAAGCCCCAGGAATCTTAGATAGGAGAACTTGGAACTGATTGTATGTCGAAATCCCACCGTAAGATGGTATTAGCGTCTATACTGAAATAATTTAATTAAACTTACAATGTTATTATTAATAGTGGGAATGATGAGAGACAGCAATAACAATTATTACCAGTATCATTCTTTTAATTTAAAAAGTATACATTCCAATTCGTGTTATATTTTTAAATTTGTCGCTAACTTCAACTATTAAAAAGTNAAAAAAAATTAAACCAAAATATTCCGCCATTTTTGGAGGGGTGTAGCTCCTTGGGGGAGCCCAAGTCGCCCATGGTTTATATATCAAAGTATCCTTAAAATTGCCTAAAGAATCACCCCCTGAAGTTTGGGCATGTCATTCAGATACACCTGTATATAGAAGCCGTACCGCTTATGTTCGCCCGTATACCGGTTTGAAGCCAACGCAAGAGCATTTGTTTGGAAACAAAATTGGCCTTGGTCCTAGCGACAGTGGCGTATACGATTTAGATGAAATTGGTCAAACTTTATCCAGTGGCGTATCCAAAAAGCATCCTAATCTTTTATATAAAATTACAATTAAAAATTGATTGTTAAACTAACTACTAATTGAAAAATTATTATCGTAACACCTTTATAAATTGTAGAATGCATTTTTTTCTATATCTTTGTTAAGTTTTAATAAGACTTGAAAGTGTTAAACACAATAAATATAATGTAATCTTTTAAATTAATCAGAGGATGTAGAAACAACTACTTGAAAAGTAGTACTACGTAGAACAACTTGGTAAATATAGAAGTATGTATGTAGTATTTTGATTGATAAGTTTTATATCTAACTAAAAGTACTAGTATACTCTACATACAAATTATTTACAAAGAAAATATAAATAAATAAAAATTAAGAAAAACGAATCATTTACTGATTCGCAAATAGGTTTATTTATTTTAGAGACATGCCTTATTCTAGGGGCAATAATATTCGGGTATGTTCGGCGATAATCGGCCGCTGGTCCGATCTGTGCACGTTCATTGTTTCAACTGGTTTCGACAAAGGTTGTTAGTAAACAAACCGTGTGTTGCGTTGGCTTCAAGTTTTAGTGTTTGTAACTGCTTCTATATATACAATTTCTTTGGCCGTGATATTCAAATGTATCGGCATTATTTGACAGGTGTAATTGCCATAGGTAATTGCATCTGAGGAATTCTCAACCAGTGGGAACGTTAATTGAATTCCAAACACTTTCCAAACAGTTATTCTGTGGTTGGAGCTTTTATATACAGGGTGTATCTGAATGACTGCAACAAACTTCAAGGGGTGATTCTTTAGTGAATTTTAAGGGTACTTTGATATATGAACCATGGGCGACTTCGGCTCCCGTAAGGAGCTACACCCCTCCAAAAATGGCGGAAAATTTTGGTTTAATTTTTTTTTCTCAAAAACCATAAACGCTAGGAAAATGAAATTTGGGGAATATGTTTAACTCATAATAGGGCACGTTTTGACCCTATTTGTACTTTCAACCTACCCTTCTAAACTACTAAACGTAACCACCCCCGTTCAATTTATGCCTAGATTTTTTTTATGAAGATGATAAATACATTGGAAAAATTTCAGTTAGATAGATAAAACTATTCTAAAACTTTTTTGTCTCTCTGATGTTCTTCTAAAAATTAATAATTTCTGAGAAAAAAAATAATTAAGCAAACACTAACTGTTAAGCTGTAGGGTTGTTAATCGAAAGTTGGAATGAATTTTTAATGAAAAAATCTTAGTAGGCTTTGCAATCTTTGTCAGAAATATTTTTGACGTTTAAATGTCAGTGGTTTTCTTACTATTATTATTATTTTATTTAAAATTTTGAAACGTCGAGTGAACGAGCGTAAATGCGATAGAACTTTATTTAAAAATTAATTTGAAAAACAATAATAATAGTAAGAAAAACACTGACATTTAAACGTCAAAAATATTTCTGACAAAGATTGCAAAGCCTACTAAGATTTTTTCATTAAAAATTCATTCCAACTTTCGATTAACAACCCTACAGCTTAACAGTTAGTGTTTGCTTAATTATTTTTTTTCTCAGAAATTATTAAATTTTCGAAGAACATCAGAGAGACAAAAAAGTTTTAGAATAGTTTTATCTATCTAACTGAAATTTTTCCAATGTATTTATCATCTTCATAAAAAAAATCTAGGCATAAATTGAACGGGGGTGGTTACGTTTAGTAGTTTAGAAGGGTAGGTTGAAAGTACAAATAGGGTCAAAACGTGCCCTATTATGAGTTAAACATATTCCCCAAATTTCATTTTCCTAGCGTTTATGGTTTTTGAGAAAAAAAAATTAAACCAAAATTTTCCGCCATTTTTGGAGGGGTGTAGCTCCTTAGGGGAGCCGAAGTCGCCCATGGTTCATATATCAAAGTACCCTTAAAATTCACTAAAGAATCACCCCTTGAAGTTTTTTGCAGTCATTCAGATACACTCTGTATAAACCCGATCAAACCTGTATTCTAGTGGTTCGGTTCTTAGCTGAATAATTCCAAAATATCCCCAACAGATGGCGCCACATGCGTTCAATTTTTAGTACGAAGTTTTTGCTTAGAGAGTTGCATTTCTATGAAGCTATTTTCTATGATGGGAGTAGATTATTTTTGGGAATTATTGTGCGTCGGTCAAGTTAAGCTTCCTACTGGTCCAATAATGCAAAATACGCGTTTCGGTTGGGTTATTTCAGGGCCTGTAGTTTCCGCAATCGCAAAATTGACCTCACATTGCAATTTTTCTAAACTCTCGGTTACTTCTGACGAGAATGATAAGAGTTTCTCGTCAAAATTATGTCAACTATTAGAACGCTTTTGGGAAATCGAAGCTATAAAAACTCAAGCTCCAATGTCAAATGAAGCAATGATTTGTGAAGAACATTTCAACAAAACGGCATATCGCGCACCTGATGGCCGATTTACTGTAACAATTCCTTTTAAAGGAAGCATAGAACGATTAGGTGAGTCCCACAAAAGCGCGGAACGTAGATTATTGAGTATGGAGCGCAAATTCAAAAGACTTCCTGAGTTTGGTGAACAATATAAAAGGTTCATGCACGAATATCTCGAATTAAAGCACATGCGTAAGATAAATTGCAAAACATCAGCTGATTTGCATTATTATTTACCACATCACGGGGTTATAAACGAATCTAGCACTACTACCAGATTGCGAGTTGTTTTCGATGGTTCTTGCTCAACAACTACTGGGTATTCCCTTAATGATTTACAAATAGTTGGTCCTAATTTACAGCCTGATTTGTTCAGCGCTTTAATCAGATATCGTAAATATATTTACGTAATGGCTGCAGATATTAGAAAAATGTATCGGGCGTGTTTAATAAATCCCGAACAGACAAAACTTCAGCGAATTCTTTGGCGTGATTCTTCTGAACTTCCAATAGACACATACGAATTATTAACTGTGACATACGGTACAGCATCAGCTAGTTATTTAGCCACGCGTTGCCTAAAACAAATAAGCTTGGAATGCTCCGATCCGGTTGTAGCAAACGTTATTGGTAACCACTTTTATGTCGACGATCTATTGACTGGAGCAAACTGAATGACATTAATCATTTTAGTCAGACTTGATCAAAATGCAACCAACAACTTACTCATTTTCAGGAACATCTATTAAAAGTAGACTGGATGGTTACACAATATCAAATCTTTTTCTTTATCAGCGCGTTTATCTGCATTAATAAGAATGGCTCGGTAACGTTTCTCGGTATTTCTTGAAAATTAAATTCACTACTAAAACATAATAAATATTAATAAAGGAGATTCTTTTAAACACACTGTCATTAAAATCTAATTAAATGCTAATTAACCCATCTAAACGAATTTTAATGCCCTCATTAACGTCTTAATTACTATTCTGTACACATAAATAACCTCAAATTCTCTGTTAAAATTCAGTTTATCCAGTTCCTGTGTAAGAGTCGGTTCTAGTGAAATATTAATCAATATGTTTTTCCAAATTTTTCCGAAAACGATCAACACAAACCAAGTGCCTTTCTTTTTGGAGTTTCCCATGGAACTAATAATAATAATTTTAGGTTTTCTTGATCCGAAATCTCTATTGCTTGCAGCCGTAACTTATAATAAGGTGATGAATGTTTGTCAAGGACACACAACTCTTCGAAGACGGCTGAGGGCTGCTCAAAAGTACGAAGAGTGAATTATTTCTTAAATCCAAGAAGTGCGGTTAAAGTAAGAAGAAATGGACCTGTTGATAATTGCATAACGAAAATTGAAGTTATTAAAAACGACTTTTTGTCTTTGGATTTAATTGGTAAGATTAGTAATAGAGGTGAAGGTAGAATTAGGACGAAAAGTAATGTTACATCTACTCGAAATTTTAGAATATAAGTTGTTAATTTTAGATGTTTAAAAACGTGTTAACGTATTCATTTTTGAATAAATTTTATACTTTAATATTGCTTGTGAAATTTAACGATTAAGATCCTAAAATAAAGTAATTTAAAAATACATATCATGTTTTTCTTATTTTGATGGGATTGCTTGGAAATGTATCCTCAATAACCAATAATTTAGATGAACTTTATCCATTGAGGTCTTATACAGGGTGCCTCAGCGAGACCGGTCACTAGACGTTTCTGGGTTACTGGCCAAAATAAAAATTTGAGAATTCAGACTTAAGTATTATCAATTGCGTTCTCTTCGACTAAAATATTTCCAGATTTCTAGCCCTATTCACCGCTAACTGAGTATTATGGTATGGGGTGCGATTACACATGGCGGACGTACTCGTCTGCTACGTGTACAGCAGACGATGATGGGTCAACGACACGTAGATGAGGTGCTACGGCCCGTTGTGCTTCCCTACGTTCGACGGCGCCCACGTCTGCTATACATGCACGGCAACGCCCGACCGCACATCGTGCGTATTGTACAGACCTTTGTGGAAGAGCACCGTATAGGAATGCTTTCCTGGCCAGCTCGTTCTCTGCATGTGAATCCGATCGAACATGTTTGGGGTATGATTGGTCGGAGACTTCAACGTTATCCGGCTCCTCCGGTTAACGTTGAGGAGCTATGGAGGCGAGTTGAGGCGGCATGGTTGGCCATTCCTGCATTCATGCTGCAATACAGCGACTTATCGACTCCATGCCACGTCGTGTAGCGATGGTGCGTGCCGCTCAAGGGGGATACTGTCGCTATTGATGTATCCCCTCCCAGCAGAGTTGCGCAGCTCTCCATGTGAGGGTAAGTTACACAACTTTAGTGTATTCTTCCGTACCAAATTTCATTGTGCTAGACACACGCGTTCAGATTATATAGGGTGTGCTCGTGAATTATTTCCAACAGTGTATTTGGATTTGTCTGTTCCCAAGGGGTATAAATAACTTTACTTTTTGCAATTTGATTCGGTCGTTCTCGAGTTATTCGAATTTTTCTAGAAAAATCTGCTCCAGCAGACATTTGTTCAGAAAATCAGAGAACGCTCCATTTTTGGGGTATCAATTTAGGATTCAGAACATGCTTAAGCAACATGATGGAGTATGTTTTGGTGCTGAGAACGGCTGTCTAGAACGTTTGGTCACTTTACTATTGATGTCAAAACGAATATGTTATCTGCTTTGAACATTGTATTTATTACCCTCGGTCCAAATGTACCAGATGATTCTAACAATGTAGAATACAATTTGTGATAGCAACCGTTCTTTTGTCAGTTACTTTTTAACTCATTATTAATAAATATTTATATAATTATCCTAACTTTTGTGTTATTTAAACAGAATAAGGATAAAAAATATTTTTCTGTAGGAGTATGAAAGTTATTAGTAGAGTCCGGAATTTATGCAAATTGCATATTACTTACTGCTGATAGTACGATTAAATGCTTTCGGATCTAGACGAATTACGTGAATAGGAATTGAATGACGCCTATTAATTTTTACATATGTATTTGGCATATTTCTAAGTTTTTCGCATATTTTTGTATATATTGCATATTTTCACATATTTTCATATACTCTACAGTATTATACGTTTTGAAAGTACAACGTCGATTCCTTATTTATTACTTCAGGTTTAATTCATATTATGGTCAACCGTCGCGACGCACTGTCGGGCGTCGCACGTTCGTCGAGGGCCCGTCGTTTTTGGCGAGTTAGGCCCGACGCGGGTCTTTATGTAGCTGGCGTCTACAATAAAAAATGATGGCCACGAAGTTAAATTTATTTGAAAACACATCATTCTACGAGTCGATCTTAAGATGTACAAACTTTTAAGTGTTTCAAAAATGCCGAAGGTGAAAAATTATTTGGTGATGTCTTGGATAAAAGCAATTCCTGAACTTATTCTGCAAGAAGAAAATGTGTTTTGTAAAGCATGTGGTAAAACGGTAAGTTTATATTTGTCATATTTTTCAATGTAAATTTAAATAAAACTAATAATTACACTTTATAGAGTCTAGATTAAAATTATAATCCATTCTACCAGTTTGAATTGTAGTTACGGGTGTAAATAATGGAAACGTACTCCTATAACCACTGATCAATTAAAGAACTGAGAACGTTTCCATTATTTACACCTGTAACTTAAATCACGCTTTTATTTAAGTCATCCTTAAGATTGTTGTTGTAATTTTGAATACTTTTCTTAATCTATTTTATTCCATGGGTTTTATATTAAATTAACTTTGTATGGCTAAAGTCGATTCCAAAATGTTTGTTTCTTACTCTTAAGCTTTTGTTGCAGGTTGCTTGTGACCGCAAATCTCAGATCACGCAACATGTTGCTACCGATTTACATAAGAAAAAAACTCAGCAACTTAATCAAACTAACATGGCTCAACAATCTTTGAAGCAAGCTATTCAACAAGAAACAACCAAAAATGAGCAGCAAATATTTAAAGGATTATGCAAAGCCTTCTTGGCAGCCAACATTCCATTTCAAAAATTGCAAAATCCTGAATTAAAAAAATTTGTAGAACAGTATTCTGGGCGTATTGTACCGGATGAAAGTACTTTGCGCAAGGGTTACGTAAATGAAGAGTATGTTAAAATAATTAGGACTATCAAAGAAGTAGTTAAAAACCACTACGTATATTTAATAGTTGACGAAACTACCGATTGTTGTGGAAGATATATTGCGAACTTGCTGATAGGTATTGCAATTTAATTCATGTGACGTGCTTAGCTCATGGTTTGAATAGAGTAGCAGAGGAAATTAGGAATCAATTTCCAGACGTAAATGCGTTAATTAGCAATGTAAAAAAAAATATTTTTGAAGTCTCCCCTCAGGATCCAATTATATAAGGAAAAATTGCCTAATGTTAATCTACCACCAGAGCCTGTCATTACACGGTGGGGTACCTGGTTAAATGCTGCAACATTTTATGCCTTACATTTTACGTCTATAAAGGAATTAATCATGGATTTTGAGGAGGAAAATAATCAAGCAATTAAAAAATGCAAAGCACTATTAAAAAAAGCGACATTAGGTTCAGAATTAGTGTTTATTCAAAGTAATTATGAGTTTGTCAGTAGGATTATTTTAAATTTAGAAACGCAAGCAATGTCACTAAATGAGTCTGTTGGATTAATAGAGGAATTTGAGACTGGTGTTAAAAAAGTAAATGGTAAAGTAGGACAAATTATTAACAAAAAGTTTTATGAAGTATTAGAAAAAAATCACGGTTATATATTGTTATCAAAGGCGACTAAAATAATGAGTGGATATTTAAGCGATCAGGTTAATATTGCGCCAAATTTAATTAGTAACTTTAAATATGCACCCATAACATCTATAGATGTAGAGAGGAGTTTCTCGAGCTACAAACAGATACTGTCTGATAGACGACGTAACTTCTTAGTTGAGAACATTGAAAAATATATAATTGTAAACTATAACATTACTGCAGGTATTTAAATATTTATATATACATCGATTTTTATGTATGCTGAAGTTTGTAGTTGCCTGTTTATAAATATATTTTATTTAGTTGTTTTTAGTTTGTATTATTAAAATAAAAAATTATTTTAATAAAATAGAGTTTATAATGTTTAGATGTTATTTTGAATTGAACCTATTAAAAAAATACCGACTTTATATATAAATTAATATACTATTTTAACAGTAGTACAAAATGCATGCATATTTTAACATAAACTTTGCATATTTTTATATGAAATTTGCATATTTTCTTATATTTACTCCATATATATGCGCATATTTTGCATAAATTTTGTACATAAAATTCCGGACTCTAGTTATTAGTTATTAGCGAAAATATATTTTCTACCCTAAACTTCTAACCCTTGTAAGTTCTTATAATAGTACTACTACCTAACGTATAAAAAAATCAATTTTCGCAATTTTGGTTAGAGGGTAGTTAACCCCAGCCAGCCCTTAATGTCGTATAGGGTTTATTTTACTGCGTAAATCTTAATTTACAAGTAATTTATGGTTTTCATTAAAATATTGTTCAAAAGTGTAACAGTTTATCACATTCTTAAGGAAAGGGGTTATCAATACCACGTAATTTTGCAGGGGATGGTCAGAGGCAAATAAGAAAAAATACGTCATTAAGAT